ATACTTGGGCACCCCTCAACCTATCAAATAGCTCAGAAATAAGGGGAATGGGATAGGCGTTTTTAATCGTAATTTTGTTTAGACCCCTATAATCAATACAAGGGCATATGTCTCCTTCTTTTTTAGAAACGAAGAAGAATCCAGCCCCAGCAGGTGAAGAGGATCTTCTTATGTGACCCTTTCTGAGAGCATCCTTTATGTATTCTTCTAAACAAAGGGTTTCTCGAGGAGAAAGTGCATAAACTCCTCCTTTAGGGGGCATAGTGCCAGGTAGCAAACTAATGGCACAGTCATAGGGCCTATGTGGAGGTAATACCTCCGACTGAACCTTGTTAAATACTTATTTTAAGTCCAAATACTGGGGTGGGATTTCTGTGGTTAAGGGAGGTGCTATAGGTACATTGATGGTACCGATTCGTTTAGGCACCTGTTTTAGACAATGACCTCTGCAACTCTTTCCCCAACTCACAATCTCTCCTTCAACCCAATCTAGACATGGATTGTGTTTCTGGAGCCAAGGAAAACCGAGTATTATTGGACATGTAGGAGAAGATTTAATTTTAAAAGCCATTTCTTCAGAATGTAAGAAACCTACTGAGACATTGATTGGTATTGTTTCGTGTGTGATGAGAGATTGAGTAAGAGGTCTCCCATCGATAGCCTCTACTGCTATGGGTCTGTATTTCTGCCTTAAAGGCAGAAGATGTTTGGCAGAAAATTCCTTATCAAGGAAATTCTCAGCTGCCCCAGAGTCAATCATGGCCTCACACTGAACAGTAGTTTTCTTACTGTGATTTTTATAAGAAAGCGGTTCTTAGTCAATTTAGGGGACAAATACATCACACCTAAGGTCGGTCCCTGAACGTGCCTTAGGTGTGCAAGTTTTCCGGCCGAACCGGACAAGAAAGCCTCTGATGTCCTCTTTTGCCACAATATAGGCACAACCCCTCGTTGCGTCTGTGTTGTCTCTCCGCCTCAGTCAGTTTGGTAATGCCCAATTGCATGGGTTCGGCTTCTGCAGGTGGAGCAGGACTAACAGTCATTGGGTTAGAGAAACAAGGGGCTATAGACAAGTTTGTACGTCTTGTACGCTGTTTGTTTTTCTCCCTCTCTCTGAGCCTGATGTCAATGTCAATCATGTATGCAATAAAATCATTAAGATTAACCGGAAGGTCTCTGGCTGCGGTTTCATCTTGTATATTTTCTGCTAAACCTTCAGAAAAAGCAGCCACCAAACCACTATTGGTCCAGTCAACCTCAGAAGCTAGTGTCCTGAATTCTTTGGCCTAATCAGCTACAGAGCGGGTGCCTTGTATTATTCTCATTAAGGCTCTGGCAACGTCTTTCTCTCTTCCCTTTGGCTCAAAAGGGGCTTTAAATGCCGTTAAGAATTCATTATAATCACGGGCAACTGGATTTCCACTTTCCCATAAGGGATTGGCCAAGGTTAAGGCCTTGCCCATTAATTGGTTCATAAGAGAGCCAATCTTTGACCTATCTGTAGGGAAATAACCAGGGGAAGCCTCAAAATGAGGCTTAAGGAAACCTCTGAATTCTTTAGAATCACCTCCAAAATGAGGGGGAGGTGAAAGGGTTATAGATGGAGGTTTATATACTACAGGTGCAGGTATAGGGGGCGGAGCTACAGGTGGTACCAGGGGTGCCTCTAGATAAGCAGTTCTCTGGAGCAAGGTCTGGAATGCTTGGGCAAACTGATCTAACCTGTGGTCCATATCCTCCACCCTGTTCTCACAGGCTATCATATGTTTACATAGTTCCACAGGATCCATGGCCCTGTCATAATGTCACGACTGCTGTAAACCTATACATAGAAAATAGAAAGGAAATAAAAGGACAGAACGTAAACCGGATCTTAGAATGGCCGGACTAATACGTTAGAGACAGAGAATGGTCAAAGGGAAAGCCAAGGTCAAGGAAGCTAGAAATACACAATACCATTTAAACAAGCCAAGTCAGGGGAACCAGAAATCGGAATAACCAGGAATAGCCAAGTTCAGAATACCAGAATATCAATACCACAGGGAAAAACATACTCTCAGGAAACCAGGAACAGGAAACCACAACAGGGCAAGGTACTGGAGTTAATTAGGGATTTAAATATCCCTCTCTAGGCTCTGATTGGTCAGAGGGTGACCTCTGACCCCAGAACGTGCGCGTGCGTTGATGTTGTGACGTCACGCGCCCGTTCGTATAATTTTGTGGGGTGGAGCCATGGATGGACGTGACCGCATGGTCTTGGACTTCCCCAAGCGGCGTGGAGGAGCGGTTCCCGGCTCGCCGCTGAGCAGGTAAGCTCAGTGAGTTGGTGTGGTCGTGCCGGTCAGGCACGGATGCACATGGCGGCGAGCCGGGGGCCGTGACAGCGATTTACTTGGCAAGTTGTGGGATGTTCTAAAGTCACACCCTTTGTCCCAAGAACTGGAGGGGACAATAGACCAGACACCTGATGGCATCTGGATGCAGATGAGACTCTTGTTGCTCTATCTGAGCAGAGAAGCCCCTACATAGTGCCACAAGCCAACCATTAATTCTTCTCATGATGTCTCTCTATGGTTCTGTTTTGTTTTTGCTTTAATTTTGTTATTTTACTCATTTTGGTCCTGTAAAGCTTATGCTCCATACTCACTCACACTTTGGAGCTCCCTAAGAGCTTCTGAAGGACAAGTGCTCAGCCTAAAGGTAGAAGACACAGTTCACCACATAGGTTGCAACCAAGAAAAGCCATACCCGCAATGGGCATAACCCCTGGGATTAACACCACCAGTCTCGCTCCCCCACCCCCCCTGCAGTCCCTTCGGTAAGGGGCACCCACAGCAGCAAAGCTTATCTGCATCATCCTGCAGACAATCTCAAGCTACTAAACTAGACATGCTACTCTACTACGTTTTGCACTCATAACACACAGTGTTGTAAACCTCTGATGGATGGCCTATGATAGTAAACACATACTATATATCTACTAACTCACGCTCTCAACACTGCACTTACACCCTTCGACGACCACTCACTTAACAATGCAATCTTTCAGAACATAAACCTCTCCTGTTTGTAACAGCGCTCCCACCTACTGAAAAATGTAAACTCATGTTTTATAAAAATGTTGTACTTTATACCACTGTCATAATGCTACCCCACCTGATACATTGTGTTATGCTGTTGTGGCATTGTTGATATGCTTGTTTCATCACATCACAGCACATCAAAAAAATAAAGAATTGTAAAATATATATTTATCTATCCAAAATAAAATCCAAACAAGTTATGGTGGGGAAAAATTGTGATTGAAAACCCCTTCCGCCTGAAGTCTGTGGATAATTAATACAATGTTAAACAAAAATCTGCACACCAGTCAAGCAATAAGACTTGCTTTTCCCACAGAAATCCCCAAACTGCAGCGATGTTACAACCGCAAAGGATTCTGGGTGGGCATATGCAAATTAGTTTAACAAAGAATCACATTTTTGCCTTATTCCATTTTAAACATGGATTCCTTTTAATCTGTGTTTGCTGTATACAACACAATATAGGAAAAGATGCAAAACCAGTGAACCACTCATGGACAGCTGTTTCGTTGTTAATGCAACTCATCAGCATATATGTATATATGAAAAAATACTTGTCTCCCTTAAAGTAAAATTTAACATATCAAAAGTACTTCAGTGTGGTTTTTCTAAGTATTATCAAAAGCATATTTTTTTTTTACTATCGCCTATCTGCAGTACGTCCTACTGACAGCATTATTGTAGCCTTAGCATTATTTCAAGAACTTATTGAAATGACAGCAATATTTTTGACAATGAACAAAATATTGTGAATAACCATAAATTGGTAACTTGCTATTTAATTATAACTACAATAAATTTTGCAAAACATCTTTGCACTCTTCTAGTTGCTAAAAGTGTCTTCACTGTTCTGAGGAAGGAAATGCCTCTAAAAGAATCACTTTATTGTGGGCAGATGCCTACAGACTGATAACAATAACATGCTTGAAGCCCATGGATCAGCGCAGTCAGGGGAATGGGCCTTGACAGAGCCAAGGAGTAGGCAGGTGGAGTTAAAATTTTAGGGGTGGGAATTTAGGAATGGTTTGTAATAAGGGGTGGAGAATAGAGGGAGTATATTAAGCGGCCATTTTAGCAAGTGGCCATTTTAACCAGAATCTGCACTTACCTGTTAATTGTTTTTGGCAGGTCTGTGTGGTTTCTTGCTCTTTATTTTTCAGATGGCTTCGCTGGACGAGATCATGGACGGGGTCAGAGCGGCTGTACGTGACAGGGGGATGGCCTGGCTTCATCAGCAGCTGGGGGTTCCTGGGACCAGTGATCTCCCCCCTGCGGCAGCGGAGCGGCGGTCGGTGAGGAGGGCGAGACCGCCCCAGCGGCTGAGTCCGGGCGTGATGCCCGCAGCTCGGCGGCGTCTGAGTCCGTCCGCGGACGCGGGCGGGTCCCTGGCTGTGGGGGCCAGCCGGGAGGAGGCAGATAAAACGCCGCCGGCACCGTCTGTTCGACGCGGTGCCGGTCGGGCACGGACGGCGGTTAGGCCGGTGACGGCTCTGCGGCCTACCACGCGGAGCGCCGCCCGGCGGACAGCGAACGGCAGGGTGCCAGGATTGGCGGCGGCCTCCAGGACAGCCGGGTGTGCAGAGGCCAGTGGAGGGGATGACATAGCCCAAGGGCGTCCCGGTGAGTCTGCCTCCGGTATTACACCCGGGCGGCAAAGGGACAGGCAGGTGGATGTGGGGGACGGGCTGACAGCTCCCCTGGGGCTCCTGCCAGTAAGGGCACAGTGGGTACGGCCGGGGTTAGGGCCAGGCATGACGGCAGGGGGACAGCCGACCGGGTTTCCCAGCTAGGACGTCAGAGGCAGGCCAAGGCAGCAGCAGCAGTGGATTCTGGCTGCCTGGGACAGTGCAGGGACTCCCTTACTGACGGGTTGGCGTCACAGGGGGTCCTATCTCAATGGTCTGATGCGGATTCGGACGCTGGGGTTAGGAGGATACGGGGGGACCGCAGGTGCACCTCCCAGGGGCGCCCAGGCGTTATACACAACCCCAGACCTGGAGTCAGCAGGGAACGGCGCGGGGAAAGCGCCAGGCAGGAGGGTACATGGAGCGCCAGGGAGAGGAGCCTGTCAGCTGATAGTTGCAGTAGGCCGAGGTCGGCCTGCAGGGACAGGGGGAGGACGGAACGGCGCAGCGCTTCTGGTCCTCAGACGAGAGCCCCCAAGGACAGCGGGATAGTAATTGCGGCCAGGAGGGCCAGGCAACTAAGCGGGGCAGGCGTAGGAACGTTGGAAGGGAGCGTAGGGAGGAAGGGCGGGTAGGGGGACCCATGAACAGACTACCCAGGTGTTCTTCTCCTTACAGGTCACGGAGCATTACACCAACGGTCCCGAGGCGGGACCAGGCAGAAAGGAGTCGGCGTCTCTTGGACACTCCGGAGCCTTGCGCGGCGGATGGAAGGATAGCGACCCCGCGGCCCTCCGCGGCCGGGGGCTCTGGCAGTGAGTCATCTGGTACACCACACACAGATTCATGGTTAAGCGGTTTAAAGTCGTTTTTAGATTCTTGGGCCAGTAGGGAGGGGGCTTCTCCGCAATTCTCGAGGGTGTGGGGTCCGGTGGCGGGTCTTACGTCCGCGGGACAGGCAAGCACTGGGATTGGTGACACTGGGGTAGCCGCATCCGGGTCGGTAGGGGGGCCGGGCGAAAAGACGGACGTAGGCGGCGAGATTACCGACGCGGCGCGGCAAAATGTGCACGTTTCTTTCGCGGGCCCCTTAGGCTGTCATCTTAAGGCCGAGTTGAAGGACAAGATTTGGAAAGGTGAGTTCGTGGAAGTTTTTGCCCTTCTTCCTCTGGAGGAGTTTCTTGACCTGAAAGAGGAGGACAAGAAGGATGCAAAGAAGGAGGAAGAAGAGAAAAAGCGTAGATACAGGAAGATCCCCAAAACGTTTGCGAACTGGCTACGGGCTTTTTGTATATTGGCCAGTGTTATCGGGGAAAAATTCCCTGACCGCTGCTCACAACTTTTTTGTTATCTGGACGGGATTGGGGACGCGTACCGAACATACGGGGGAGTAGCATGGTGGAAATACGATGAGCAGTTCCGCCAGCGTTTAGCGGCGAATCCTAGTATGCGGTGGGATCAAATGGACCTACCCTTATGGATGAGACTGATGATGGCGCAGAAGGCTGCGCCCTTTCACGGGGCGGCCGGTACGGTACCCGGAGGATCGGCACCGGCCGGGCAAAAGAAGGGTTTTTGCTGGCTCTTCAACGAGGGCCAATGCAAGTGGGGTACATCGTGCAGATTCAAACACGAGTGCTCTGGTGCGGTGGTACACATGGGGCTAACAGGTGTTTCAAGAGAGGTAAGCCGGCTTCCGGAGGAGGTCCCAGCAACGCAGCGGCCCCCGCAGCTACCGCTGGGGGCAACCCCAGTGAAGGTAGGCGTGATGCTGCCGTGGCTAAAGCGTTACGCTAACCGAGCGGACGCAGAGTTTTTGAGGAGGGGGTTTACAGAGGGGTTTACTATTCCATTTAAGGGGAGGGGACCAGGGGCTTTATGTGCGAACCTGCGATCTGTACGGGAACATCCAGGGGTGGTGCGGGACAAATTGCTGGCGGAGGTAAAGCTGGGTAGGATGGCAGGACCTTTTGTGGCCCCGCCACTGCCAAACTTGAGGGTGTCCCCGCTCGGGGTGGTCCCTAAGAAGGAACCAGGCAAATTCCGTTTAATACACCATTTGTCTTACCCAAAGGGGGCGTCAGTCAATGATGACATTGACGCAGCCCTAAGCTCGGTCTCATATGCATCATTCGACCAGGCGGTCGAGTTGGTTCGGAGAGCCGGGCGGGGGGCGTTAATGGCGAAGGTTGACGTGGAAGCAGCTTTTAGGTTACTTCCTATTCACCCGGAATGTCACCATTTATTGGGGTGTTGTTTCGACAAAGCCTTTTTCGTCGACCTATGTTTGCCCATGGGCTGTTCTATTTCCTGCTCGTACTTTGAAAAGTTCAGCTCCTTTTTCGAATGGGTGGTACGGCAAGAGTCAGCTGGGGGTGCGGTGGTGCACTATTTGGATGACTTTTTGTGCGTAGGGCCAGCGGGCTCCGACCGTTGTGGGCAGATACTGCGGGTCTTACAGTGGGTGGCACACACCTTTGGGATCCCGTTGGCCGGGGAAAAGACAGTGGGCCCGATGGAGTGCTTGAACTTCCTGGGGCTGGAAATCGACTCGGTAAAAGGGGAATGTCGGTTGCCGGTGGATAAGCTGTTGGCTCTCCTCCAACGGGTGGGGGAAGTACGGGGTTCCAGGAAGGTAACCTTAAGGGGCCTGCAGTCTCTTTTAGGGAGCCTGAACTTTGCATGTAAAATTATCCCTATGGGGAGGGTCTTTTGCAGGCAGTTGGCTCGAGCTACGTGTGGAGTGCGGTCTCTGGGTCATTACATCAGGGTCTCAGCTGACATGAGGGCGGATTTGGACGTATGGATACACTTTTTACGGGAGTTTAACGGCCGTGTATATTTTAGGCATTCGGCAGCGACGTCGGAGGACATAGGTTTATTTACCGACGCTTCGGGGAGCGTGGTTTTGGGGCGTACCTGGGGGGGAAATAGTGCGCGGAGGAGTGGCCCAGGTCTTGGAAGGAAAGCTCCTTAATCAGGAATCTGGCCTTCCTGGAGTTCTTCCCAGTGGTGGTGGCAGTAGCTCTGTGGGGCGAGGAACTCGCGAACAGGAAGGTGATTTTCCACTCGGACAACATGGCGGTGGTGCAAGCGATCAATAGTATTTCGGCTTCGTCGCTGCCTGTAGTACGGTTGTTGAGACACTTGGTTCTTCTTTGTATGTCATGGAATATTGTTTTCAGGGCCCGGCATGTTCCGGGTTTGTTGAATGTTGTTGCTGACGCGCTGTCTCGTTCACAGTGGGAACGTTTTCGGGAGGCAGCTCCGGGCGCACAAGATACGGGTCGGGTGTGCCCAGAAGACATGTGGCAGCTCGGGACATCGTGCTTGGGGATTTCGTAAGGAGTTCCTTAGCGCCAGGCACCTGGGCGGCGTACACTAAGGTTTGGACGGAATGGGAGGAGATGGTAGGGCAGACGGGAGGGGAGTCCTCTGCAGCAGGTAGGTTTGACACATTGTTATGGTTGTTGTGTCGGTTACTGGCAGGCGGGGCCTCCCCCTCCATGGTGGACCTTTACATGTCAGCTCTGGCGTTTTGGTTTAAGTTTAATGGATGGGAGGACTTTACCAAGAATTTTATAGTGAAACAAGCTCTGCGCGGCTTCCGTAAAGGGAAGAGGACCGTGGACACGAGGCGGCCGGTGTCGTTTGCCATCCTGCAAGGGCTGGTACGGTGGCTGCGCGATGTGTGCACATCGTCGTTTGAGGTGGTTTTATTTTCGGTAGCGTTTGTTTGGGCCTTCTTCGGGGCGTTCCGCATTGGTGAACTGGTCAGCAGTAACAAGTCCGGAGTTAACGGGCTCAAGTTTGAGGACGTAGTCGTTGGCAGGGACAAAGTCGAGATTCAACTGAGACGCTCCAAGACGGATGTTTTTGGGAGAGGAAGGAAGGTGGCATTGTTCTCGTTACCTGGGTCGGAGGTCTGCCCGGTGGCGCGCGGGCGCGAGTTCTTACACATTCGCCCAGAGGAGTCGGGGTGCTTTTTTATCCATGAAGACGGTTTTGCACTGTCACGTTTCCAATTTATACGGGTATTTCGCATGGGGCTTAAGCGGTTGGGCCTACATCCCATGCAATTTGGCACTCATTCGTTTCGCATCGGGGCGGCAACGGAGGCGGCACGACTGGGCCTGGGGGACGAACGGATTAAGCAGATCGGTCGGTGGGAGTCCATTCGTTTTCGTTCGTATGTGAGACCGGATTGGTTGGTATAACGTGGTTGGGGTCAGGTTGGGGGGTTTTCAGTACATCCCCCGCAAGTTAATTGATTCTATTTCTTTACAGGTATGGTTGCCTGGTTGGTGGGTCACTCTTACATTTTTTGGGCGCAGAAGAGGGCCGCAGTTCGGAGGAATGGAACGCAACTGGGTTTTCTTCTGGAAACGGTGGAGTTACAGTGGTTTGGTTTTCGTGGTTTCAGTTGGCAGAACATTAGTGGAGTAATTTTTAGGATGGTGTCAGGGGGGTCTTCCCCTGATATACTACTTATTCACGGTGGGGGTAACGATTTGGGATTGATTCCTCAGAGGGAACTAATTAGGAGAATGAAACGGGATCTGGATCGGCTACGGGAGCTGGTGCCTGGTGTGGTGGTAGTATGGTCCGAGATGGTGCCGAGGTTTAATTGGAGACATGCCAGGGACCCAGCTGCTGTGGCGCGATGCCGGGGAAAAGTGAATAGAGCAATGTCAGTTTTCGTCCGGAGGTCGGGCGGGGTTACAGTACGACACTGGGAGTTAGAGGGCATGTTGCCTGGGTACTTTCGCAAGGATGGGGTGCACCTTTCCGAAGTGGGGTGCGATTTACTAAATTTAGGTTTTCAGGAGGGCATAGCTCAGGCCCTATTTTTGTATGGTGGAGGGCGCTCGAGACGTTAAGGTATCAAGTCTCGGGCTATGGCGGGATAGGGCTAGGGTAATTGGGATGGAAGAGGAGTATTAAGTGGCTAGGCTAAGGTTAGGCTGTATTAGGCCAGAGTGGTAAGTGGTCTGTTGGTTCAAGCTCTTCGGTGGCTCCGAACCTGGTGGTGTAGGGGTGTCTCGGTACACCCCTACAGTTAAGAAAGTTATGGTTATGGGGCCTCTTTGGTAGGCCGTGTGTTATATATTATGTGTTATTTATATTGTTATATATTGTTTATGGCATGGGGTCATTGCCAGGGGTAATGCTGTACGGAAGGGGGTTGGGGTAAATGTATTATTATACGGCAATGACCCTAATTTGTTATCTTGTTTATAATTACATTAAAATAAAGCTGTGGACTTTATATATTTCCAACAAAGAATTTGGTGTCTGTGGTTTTTGGGGTGGGGTTTTTGGGAAATGCCACAAGCCGAATAACGACTGTGCGCATGTGATGTGATAAACTCAGGAATAAGGGGTTACTTCCATAAATATAAGAATAGTAATAAATGAAAATTGATATAAATGTGTTTTTCCCATTATGTGGCTTTAGTCATAAAAAAGGAAAATAATAATTGAGGGTTACAAATATAATTTAATTTATTCAGAGTT